AAAAAAAAAAAAAAAAAAGGAAGAAGACCCGTTTGAAATCCTTCATTATCTTGAATCTGCTATGACATTTTTTATATTTTTTTAAGTTTTTATTTGATAGGATACCTGTGCTTGCTTCATAGAGAAAGACAGGGAAAGTGAGAAATCATCCCCTAGAGGGAATGGCCACACCACAATCTCTTTTCCTTCATTCTCCTCTCGGAATTTGAGGTATGGATGTTCAAGTGCCCAGCATATTTTTCAAGCCTCTGGGTCTGGGACTGGAATCATGAAGTCAGCCGCGTGAGATCCAGTGCCTAATCACCATGCCACCTGCTGGCTCGCTATGACTTTCTTCCTGGAATGTAGAAAGTATGGTACTCATGTGTTGATTCAATGTAAAGTTGGTTGTTGTTTTTTTTTCTTTGCTTTCTCTAGGGGTAGGGGGTGTTTTTTAAGGGTGTTGCCATAGGGTGCATGCATTCATGGAAGACCAGCGAGAGACTGAGAGACAGGGAAAAGATAAAGTGAGAAATCACCCCACAGAGGGGATGGGCATGCTGCAATCCTTTCTCCTCCATTCTCCTCCTAGGATTTTGGGCATGTGCACGCACGTGCTCAGCCTGAGTTTCAAGCCACTGATCTGGGTTCAGGACTTGAACTGCAGTCGGCCATGTGGGACTCCTGTGCTGTAAGCACTACACCAACTGCCCCTCAATATAAGGTTTTGCTTCTCTGAGTGAAGATTGATGATCAAAGCTCATTAATTCACATTTTTGCTTGCTAAATTCTTCAGAGTCATCAAAGAACAGGAAAATGATCAAGTTGGAAATGGTTTCTTCAAAAGGACTATAAGAAAAATCAGTTCACTGACTCACCTAGTGGAAGATTTTCTATTACTCAGTTTTTATGTAATTTTCTAATCCTTCTCAGGTGGAGGAACACATACCACTTTACTACTTACTAGGTTAAAGAGCACTAAGTACTATATATTAATACAATACAGAGATGCTTTAGACCAAGGTTTACATAAACAGATTCAATTACAAGATAGCTGTACAGCAAACAAATGGCATTTTGAAGATCAAATTGAAGGCATTTGATACCACCAGGCCACAACGTCTCAGGTTATTGAAAGCATGAAAACATCAACAGCAAAGTTTTTCCTGAGATGGCAATTTCTTGCCAGTGAAGTTTCTTTTTTCTTTTTTTCTTTTTTTTTTTTTTGAGAGAGAGACAGAGATTTTTGCTATAGGGTGTGTGCATTCACGGGGGAGAGAGACAGAAAGCAAGAAATCACACATCCCCACGTTGGGGGTTAGGGCGGAGGGGTCGGCCGTGCCATAATCCCTTCTCCTCCAGTCTCTAGGGATTTGGGGAACCCATGCACATATATGCCCAGTCGAGTTTTAAGCCACTGGTCCGGGACTGGAACTGCAGTCGACTATATGCGAGTCCAGCAATGTAACCATTACGCCATCGGCTGGTCCCCAGAGAAGTTTCTTTACAAATTTTTTGTTAGATATTTTACAGAAGATAACAACCAGATTGCCAAGAGAGGGGATGGGCATGCTGCAATCCTTTCTCTTCCACTGAACCAGTGCTGGAGTTGAATTCAGAAAACACTTGGACAGAGTCTAACGTTTCTTGGAATATCTACTACAAGTTGTCATTCCCAAACAGCGCTGTTCCTAGCCCTCTTTAAAAGTTTACAACAACAACAACAAAATCAAAGGTCCCTTTTATAGACTCATAGGATGTGAGCGCTGGAAGGAACCTGAAGAGCTCATCTAAGTCAACCTCTTTTCAGGAAGGAAGCTCCCCAGCGGGTGTCCCTCAGCCAGGCAGGGAGTGGCAGAGAGCTTCACTATACGTCTGCCTTTCAAAGTGCTTAACCAACTCCAAGACGGTAATGAAGACTGCGCCCTCAACAACTCTTCCCGGGGCTTCGCAGTTCCAAGGGGGGCCGCCGAGATCCTCAGCAGGCGGGTGCTTAGTTTTAGAGCCGGTCATTAAACCTGAGTTCCTCCCATTTTAAAGAACGAAGTACAAAGGGGCTCAACCTGACCCAGCCGGTTACTACGAAGCGGCAGCAAGAGCAAGGGCTGTCGAGCCTGACAGCTCTCAAGAACCGACCGCCCAGTTGCGGCGATTAAAAGCAGCACCGCCATCTGCGGCGACCCGACACACCTGAGCCGCCCCCCGCGCGGCGACCCGGCCTCTCAGGGCACCGACTGGGACCGAGCGCCGCAATTCGCGGCTCTTCCCGACGAGACGGCTGGCCCGACCGGGACCGTGCCCGCGGACCGGGGCACTTACGTTTTCGGTGTCCCGCTCATTCACCGTGGGCAGCGGGGTCCTCGTGGACATCTTACTGCACCGCACTTCTGCACTACGCGAGGGGAAAAGCAAACGGCGCAGCCCGAGGCGGCCGGCACCGGCGCGCTCCAGTCCCCGCGGTCCCGGGGCGGCGCCGTGGGGAGGGCGGCTCCCCTCCCCCCAGGCCGTCTAGATCCCGGGCCTGGCCCGGGCCGTCCCCCGCAGGGTCCCGGGGCTCATTCTTCCCCCGCCCCGGCGGCCGCGCCGAGGAGCCCGGGC